TTTTTTCCGCCAAATAATCTAAATTATTTGCCTAATCATAATAATTTAACAAATAAAGTTTATTATTATGAACTTTTAATACTCTCTAAAAGTACTTTTATAATATATTATTTCAGTTTTATAATAACTGTTTTAATTCAAATTTCACAATATATAAAGCTATATTATTTAATTTACAATAAATATATTATTTTACAAAAAATACTTTAATTTACTTTTACAATCTATTATTATATGAATAAATGTTTATCTAGCAGGGTACAGAACAATTAAATCTAGCATTGTATATTAATATGCAGGGCACAGAGCAATTAAATCTAGTATTGTATATTAATATAAAATCCAATTGGCAAAGATACATTATTTACATATATGGAATAAAGCGAGAAATAATGGTATCACATTTCTTAAATTATTTATTAATAAAGCAAGATATAATGATATCATATTCTTTAAACTATTTATTAAAAAATCCTAATATAAATTGAATTGTGAAACAAATGAATCACAAATCGCATCAAAATACAAATTGTTTCCAAATACAAATCATATCAAAACGCAAATCAATAAAAAAACTAACAAGCTATAAAGCATTAAATAGAACACAATCTAAGACTTTCTGAAGCAAACCCAATTGACCTTCTCGAAGATGATATAAGTGACTTAATAGACAAATATCATAAGTCTTATGAAATCAAACTTATTTATATCATCAATTAAAACTTACTGGTAAATATTCTAGTTACGTTTGAAAATAATGACCTTGAGTTAAATGATACTCATGAAATACAAATAAAGAATAATAACGAAGATAATGGAAAGAGTAAAGTCATAAAGTATTAAATAGAACACAATCTAAAACTTTCTGAAGCAAACCTAATTGACCTTCCCGAAGATATATAAGTAACTTAATAGACAAATATAATAAGTCTTATGAAATCGAACTTATTTATATCATCAATTAAAACTTACTGGTAAATACCCTAGTTATATTCAAAAATAATGACCTTGAGTTAAATGATACTTATAAAATACAAATAAAGAATAATAATGAAGATAATGGAAAGAGTAAATATCTGAAATAAGCACTACTAAATTAAACCAGATCTTGTAATTTACCAAATTGGCTTTCAAAAAGTCTAATTAACAATGTATATTGTGTAACTATATTTGCTGGCAAGATTATAATAGTGTGATATACTTCGAGTGAGATAAAATATAGTATAGGTAATACCTTAA